AAGTAACGTGGCATCGTATCTTTGTGGCACTTTAATTTATATGTCATTATCAGTATCGATTTTTTAACACGTTCGTCGCCCAGCCCATTTCGGTTGAGTTTCTCGACAGGCCCAAAATTCGACTACCGACGCGCCGTAACGTAAAGAAGCGATAAGTAGAAATATCAACAATGCAACCCGAGTATTATGGTAATATTATATTATTATATTTTATTTACCGAAAATAATAAAATATAAAAATATCGTTTATTTACCGAAAATAATAAAATATAAAACTATCAAAGATTGAATTGAGAAAAATTATGTTATAAAATATATATCGAAAAGAGGTGAGAAAAATTCCGTAACGCAATTCTACCGAAATGCGCAGAAATGTGAAAATAATTGGCAACATATTTTTCTTGTATTTTTTTTTTTTTTTTTAATCGATCACATAACACATAAAACACCATTTTCAACGTGATGATCTTAATGATGATTAATTAGTATAAAAATACAGATCGAATATCGTAAATCGAATGATATTAATCATTAGCAAGGTTCTTCAAAAAAAATAAAAATAATATTCTTTCCGCAAATGTAATTCCAACGTAGTCGTCGTCGTCGTCTTTGCGTTTTTATTATCGCGTAAAACATGAAAATAAATAATTTCCCCGAAGTTACTATCTAACGCACATTATCTCAATGTACTCAGAAAAGAAAAAAAAAAAAGAAAAAAAATACTAAGTTGATATATTAGTTTACTTTATTTTATTTATTTTATCCATTTTTCTTTTCTTCTATTTTTTTTTTTTTTTATATTCCTTTTCTCTTTTACTCTTTCATTTCCTATTTTTTTTAGTGATTGAGTATAAAAATATACAAGCACGTAAAATCTGTTACAAATATAGAAAGGAAAGATAATTAAATCAATTTGTTATCGTTTTATTCGTGAAAATAAAACGTAATAAAATATACCTTTATGTAATTAATTCGAATATGAAACTCATAAATATAGCACCTTTCTAATAGATCATAGAACGTATATGTTCGTTTCTATTATGTTATTTGTTCTTTCTTTTCTTTCTTTCTTTTTACTGTCTTTCTTTTTCTTTGTTTTTTTTTTTATCAATACGCAACACAATAGAGATAGCAACTTTTTTTTACGTTAGTAACCCAGTCTCACACGAAATATTCCCTATAGAAGGTATTTATCTCATTGGCGACCTATATGACGTGTACCAACACTATCGCATGTCTCATTCGCGCGAGAATTACAAAATAGTGAATGGCCTTATGCGTCGATGTTACCTAGAATAGGATAATCCTCTTCACTCTTCTCATGTTAAAACGAACCACAATCATTCTTCAGACTTGTATTGTTTTTTTTATTATCCTACTATTATGACTACTAGAAACTACTGCACGTAAAATCCATTTTTCGAAATGGTTTAAACCATAAATTAACACTAAATATTATCTATATTGTTTCTTTTGTAAAAATGCAATTATAATAAAATTACTTGTATTAGTATACATATATATAAATCTATTATGTTGAAAGAAAAATGATATTAGATTTTAATTGATAGTAATTACCTGCCGATTAATCGATGATTCAACATTTTATGACTCATGAATCACAATTAGTATAATTTTTGGAAAAAGAGAATATTTTTCAAGAATGTATTTAATATTTCACATAACTATTAAAAAATTATTTAGATTGAAAATTATTGCAATAAAAAAATGGTATATAACAAAATATAATAATAAATATAATATAGATAATAATTTATAAATTATATATTTATAATAAAAATACTAGTATATAATATAAATATATTATTTAATAAAAATATATTATAGATATAAATATATATTAATAAATAATAAATATATAAATAAATAAATTAAACAAAATAATAAACAATATAGATAAATTAATTAAATAAAATAAATAAAATAAATAATAAATATAATAATATAATAATAAGTAATAAAATGGAATATTTATATAAATTTTAACGAACTATTTCATTTACTAATGTAAAAACGATCTATATATATATATGCTATAAGAATCGTGAGTAAGACGAATGTAGAAGAATAAACATTAGAAAAGGAAAACTTTTTCACATGTGTTTGTAAACACGATTGATGATCTCTCATGAGCTATTTCTAGAACGATAAATCTAAAAGTTATTTGTTAAACGTTTCTAGTAAACGCACTGAGTGAGAAATATAACTGACGATACTAAATTATCGGCTAAATTTTCAAAGTAATTAAATAAAAAGACAAAAAACAAGACAAAACTATATCAATGCTCTAAATCGAAGAGAAATAATAACCACAAAAATGATGCCGTTACGTGAATATTGTAAATCCCAGTTTTAATACCGGTAATTTCTACACGTATTCCTTCCCCCCTTCCTCCCATTGGCAGTGATTTATGAATCAACAAGAAAAATCATCAACAGAGGAAATATACCAACAGGATAATACGATTTTCCCATCATTTGTTTTTTATTCGTTAACTATACTGTTAAAATAATTAACCCTTTGAGTAGTGAATACTTTTAACCAAAATGTTTTGTAGGAACGGAATAATTTATTAATAATAAATGATATTTAATAATAAAAATTTTTCTTTCTGAATATAATTTAATTTATAATTAAATATTAATAGACCACTCTGGCAATTGTTAGCAAACGCGTCTGTAGCACTTTAAGAGTTAATAATAATAAATATTGGGTTGTTCAGAAAGTAATTTCATTTTTTCTTGACACAATAAAGTTTATACAAACCGGCAAATAACAACACGTGAGATCAATGAGAGATTAAATTTATCAAATTCAACTGTTCATGCCCACTTGAAAGGCCTAGGTTTAACCTCGAAGAGAAGGTTATTCCTCCATTTCTACAAAAAAAAACATGAAATTACTTTCCGAACAACCTAATTGTATGTATCTATCTTTATCTGTCCTATGTCAACAGAATCCAAGTAACGTTGATAGACGAAAATAGACACAGAGATAAAATTAAAGGAAAATAAGAGATGAATTTAATAGAGAGATAAAATATTTTCTCTTTTTCAAACACGTCTTATGGTTATATCAACAGAATCCCCAAGTAAAATGATAGACGATGATAGGAAAAAGACCAAAATAAACGAAAATACTACGAAAGTTTAGAAGAAAAATTGAAAATATTGTAATCACTTCAAATATGCGTAAAGTAAACGAAAAAAGGAATGATATTAGTTCAAAAATCAATTCGAAAAAAATACATATTTCCAAAAAAAAAAAAAAACAAATATGCAGAAAGATATCTGAAGTTGTTTCAAGTTTTTTCGATAACTTTAGATTTTTATCGTTTGAAATTTCCGGAGTTTTAAGACAAATTTCTCAAGAAATAATTAAAACCTATCTAAACGATTATATTTCATTTCTACGATCAATATTACGTAATAGAAATACTATTTAAAGTAAGATTAAGGACTATGACCATGAATAAACTTATAAGGAAGAAATTGGATATAATGATGTATTAAATATTAATATAATGATATGGTGTGCTTAATGATTTTCATTGGTGTTGTTGCTGCTGCTGCTGTTACTACTTCGTTTATTCGATATTACTTTCAAGGCTTTCTATCATGAATTGTTCTTTTGTTTTGCTGAGCAAACCTGTCCTTAAGCGGTCCTTAATTACAATATTTTTTGTATATACAATATAGAAAGGGGTTATGGTTAAAATATACAGGCACAAGTTCCTTATGGTTTTCAGATGTATTGAGACTCAATTATGTGACTGTTGATCATTTTGTGTGTATATAACAAAAAAAGAAATCTTTGTCCTTTAATTATCATATTATTTTTTAGAAAATGATGTTTCCTAAATCTTCAACAATTATTTATAATGTATAGGTATTACTAATATTATAATATTTATTATTAATTGTAATTACAAATTAATTAATAACAACTTAATTTGTGTTATTTTATTTTATATTACTATACAAAATTTTATATTTTATAATAATATAATATTGTTATATATATAAATTTATATTATTTAATAATTAATATGTTAATTAGTATTTAATTTATTAATTGAAATATAATATTATATAAATAAATATATATTACAATATATTATAATATAACTACTAATACTACAATATAATTATATTACTGAAATAAAATAACTAATACCTGTTACTACACACTTTCTACTACTTTTAAAAAAAATATAAAAATTATAAAAAATTTAATATAATCAATATCAAATAACATGTCATAAAATTTATTAAACTTTCTAAAGAAGGAAGAAAGAAAAAATATTAAAAAAAAAAGAATATAATAATGATAAGAAATCCAAAAGTCTGATTGATAAATTGTTTGATATTGCGAATATGAAAATATTCGGTTGGTCGATTACTAAATTGATATGAATTTTTTTCGTGATCAACAACCGATAGATAGATATACAGATAGATAAATAGATAGATTACTATCTCATCTTGAAAATAGGTGGTACAAAGAAGATCTACTTTAAAGATACGTGCAAAGTGGGCCCTCTAACTTGAGAAGAATCAACCGACAATAAGAAACCGATCTCTTTTATAACGGTTTTATTCGAATTTTATTCATCCGTTCAAAATCTACCATAAATCAAATACAAGAAATGAAAAAGAATCGTCAGAGAACTGTTATACGACGAATCATAATCGTCGATGTCGTCAGGGTCACATTAGGTAAAACGTGAAAGGAGAAAAAGAACGAAGTAAAATAAAATAAAAGAAATAAAAAAGATAAAATAAGTTAATATTTAATCATTAATACCTGTGTCAATGTGTTTTAGTCAAATGCAAATAAAAAAAAAAAATAAAATAAAACAGAAAGAGAGAGAAAATCGAAAGTTGAAGAGTGGGGGAGGAAAGAGAGGCAGAGTAAAGAAAAGCAAACAGAAAGAAGAAATAAAAAAATCAAAATATCGTTGATGATTAATATTTACCTGGACTGAAAACAACGTTCGGTCGTGACAGGATGATGATGGAAGAAGAAATTGTTTTTTTTTTTTGTAATATATTATTATAATCTCTTATAACCACTGGTAAAATACAGCACACTTTTACTTGAAAAATAATTTTCTCAATAAACTCACTGTATTTATATTTGATTTTGTTATTATTATTTCAATTGATTAATCTCGTTCTTCGCTTATTCTTCGTGTTAATCACGTTTTTAATAATGATTAACAAAAAGAAAGAATAATTCGAAATAATAAACAAGAACTTGAATGAAGAAAAACTTCTTGAAATAAAAACTCACGCGCGAGTAATAAAAAGGAATAAAATATAGAATAGAAAAAAAATAAGAAGAAAGAAAAAAAAAGGTAAGAAATAGAAAGAGAGAGAAAGAAGTTCCTTTCTATTACAAGGACGCACTAACTTAACAGAGCACTGCTCCCACGTTGAGGACTCGGTGCAAACTGACTCGGCTGGCTCTACTTGTTTCCGCTTACAGTGTGCGTCTACTAAAACCCACGCTGCTTCTTTCCTTCCCACTTTACTGCTCGAGTCAAGTACGAACAAAATCGAATACGATAAAAGAATCACCGCCAACGGTAATAACGCTATTTTGTAGCACCTAGTTGATTTCAAATTTTTTAATTTTCTGTTCTTATTCGTACGAAATTTTTCTTTATTTTTTTTTTCTTTTTTTTCATTTAAATTTTTTTCTTTTCCTTTTTCTTTTTGCTTGAAAGTAATCGGCCAACTACGATAACATTCTTATCGTTTATTAACACATCAAATAGAATGTTTAAAATGTAAATATAATTTTTTTTTTTTACAATATAAATACGCATATTTATTTCTATATATATTTATATATATTATAGGATAATAGGATAATATATATATAATTGTACTTAAATTATAATAGATGTAATTAATTTATTTATTATTAATACATTTTTTAAATTAATTTATTACATATATACTCCCGTATTTATATGAAAATATCTGAACTTTCCCATAGTTAAAATCAAATTTGTCGATATATTTAGTAAGATAGTAGTTGATAAGGAAAAATACTTATGAAAAGCACGGAAAATTTATTAATATTTTGATATCCTCAGGCATTATATGAGTAACTTCTTTAAACACTAATTAGATCTTAATGTAATATTTCAATTAGCACACGATTTTTTGAAACACAATAATAGCACGAAGGAAACGATAAGAGAAATATATCGAATATATCGAAAAGTATAATATCAACAAAAAATATCGATTAACTTCAACCTATAAACTTTTCGTATAACAATTTATAAATAAAAAATTAATTAAATAAACAACTTAAATTGGACCGAATTGTAAATCTAAACTATTCTCGAATCCACCTTAAGACACACACAAAATTTTATTAAAATCGGTCCAGCTGTTTAGGAGGAGATCAATTACATAAACGTGCACAGAAGAAATATATATATATATATATATATATATA